CCCCGTCCTCGCCCGCCCCGCCGTGCCCATCTCCCGCGGGCGGACGGGAGCCGGCAGGCCACCTGCGCAGCCCCTCGGCCTCCCTGAGCCTCTGTTTTCCTATTGGCCAAGGGTGCCAGGTGTGGGGCATGCGCACTGCCCCCCGCGGCCCCGTTGACTCCGGGTGACATCCCCCAGCCCTGCCCCCCCACCTCAACGCCAGGCCCGTCCTGCAGTTTGGGAACATGCCAGCTTCTCTCCAGCCTCTGTGCCTTCGTCTGGGCGGCCTCCCGGCCCTCGGCCTGGCGCCAGCGGACTGGGCCTCTGCACCGGGAGGGGCTGGCCCGGCTGCCTCTGCCAGGTTGAAGAACAGCCAGTCGCAGGGAACCCAGAGTCTGCTGGTTAAGGCTCGAGGGCAGAGGTGGGGCTAGGACTCCCTCCACCCCACCCCACCCTGGGCATGGGGTCTTTGGGAAGCTGGCTCTAGTGTCAGCTGAACCAAGACAGTACCTGGGAGCTGGTGGCACCTTCAGAACTGCTGGAGGCAAGGTGGCACCAAGACCTCCCTCTCTCCCTCCTTGCCTCCTTCGCTCCCTCTCCCTCCCCTTGTGCCCCCCACCCCCCAGCACTTGTGTTTGTATTTTGGTTTTGAGACGGGATCTTGCCAACTTTATTCAGGCTCCCCTTCCATTTGTGATCTTTCTGCCTCTGCCTCCCAAGTAGTGGGGATTACAGGTAGGTGTCACCATGCCCAACTACAGATCTTAGCTGTCTGGTGAGATGCCTTCCCCCACAGCAGTCTTCAAGGCATCTTGCTTCATTTTAATGAGAGGCGCCTGGGGGTAAGCAGGTGACTGCTTTCTTTCAAGCCACGCTTTGTAGTGAGTTCCAGTCAGTTCTGAGTTCCTGCAGGCTCCCCAGGGCTCTGACCTTATTAAACTTCCCTCCCAGTTCTTGCCGTTCATTCGCTGTCTTTATGGGCCGGGGTATCCAGAGCCTGCACAACTGGCTGACTCCTTGCCACACCTCACAGTTTAGGAAGACAGCCAGCTGCCCCTCAGTGCTCTGCACCCCTTCTTCACAACCTGTGTCAGAGGGGATCCTGGCTCTCTCCACTAGCTTCTGTCCAGGGGTTTTTGGAGTGTGGGCTGGTGGTTATGCAGAGCCTGAACTCCTGATCATTTTGTGCAAGGTTCTGACATCGGGATTCATGACTACAGGAAGACGTGTGTGTATGTGTGCACGTGTGTGCGTGTGTTCCTGTGTAAGATGGTGACACTATGGCCCCATTGCTACCCTGCTTCACAGTTGCCACCCTCACACCAGACTCTCCAGTGGTCCCTGCTTCACCTCCCCCAACCCCAGTCCACACCCTCCTGCTCTCCAGCTCTGTGGCCTCAGCTCACCTCCCCCCACTGCCCAATTGCCCTGAGATCCTTATTTCAGGAGCTTCATGGACAGGCCTTGCTCTTGCTCTGGCCCTGGCTGGGGTTCTTGCTCCACCATCTGCCCCCCCTTACCATCCCCCCCAGTCCCTGCAGCCTGACTCCTTCCCTGTGGCCACAGCAAGGCTCAGGCCTCATTCTCCTCAGGAACTCAGATGGCAGAGCTCATCACACTGCTGTCCTCTTGAAATGAGATTCCCACCCCTTGGCCAGGCCCCAGGTAACTGCTTTCCCTCCTGCAGTTCCATTCCTCCACCCAACTCTAGAGCAGCCCCGCCCCTTCTGGCCACAACCTCATCTGCCATAGCTCTGTCTCTGTCTCCACCCCTCTGGCCCCAGCCCTTCCTCTCTCTACCCCCTGGCTTAAGGGACCGGAACCAGTCCAGACCCTCCTGCCTGATCCTTGGTGCCATTCTCTGTGCTTCTTTCCCAGCCTAGGGTTTCCTGCTGTCATTTAGCATGTGATCTTAGGGTATGGGAGTCCAGTTCTAGACTTTGAGAGATTCTGCCCTGCACTGTCTTGTACAAACGATGCTATAGGCTTCTTAAGAACCTCAGGGAGACTCCATGTTGGGTCCTGCTCCTCTGCCTGTGAGCCCACCCACGTGGGCTTGCATTCACCAAAATTCAAGTCCCATCTTCTATCACAATACAACCCCCAGGAACCTCCCAAGGGGTGCAGGAGGGGCCCACACAGTGAATGGCTTGGGAATTCAGAGGTACAAACTAGTCTGGAGTCAGGCTTTCTGGATACACTTTATATTAGGAGTAAAGTTGGTCATTTCTACAGAATTGTGCAGATATTCATCCAACCCAGGGCTCCTGTCCCTCCCCCAGGTGTCCTTTTTGGGAGGGCTGGTCTCAGTGTCTTAATACAGCAAGGTTGCAGTCCCACCCGTCCGCAGCAGAGGGCAGCAGTCCGATCTGGTCAAAACCTTCCTGGAAGGTTGGTGGCTCCTCTCCCTGGGGACAAAGGTGCCATGCCATGTTGGTCCTCTGTGCAGGGTCAGGTCCCAGGAAGTCTCTGTCATAGCAGCTGCTGTCCTCATGGGCACTGGGCACTGGTTTTCCCATCCAGGTGAGGTCCTCAGCTGAAGAGACACCTGCAACTGGACAAGAGGGTGGGGTTGGGCAGGGGCCCTCACACCAGGCTCAGTCTTGAGTCCAGGAGCCCAGTGCTGGCCAACCCAAGGGTGCCCAGGCCTGTCTTTGCCACTTACATTCTGTGGGTCGGTAGGCAACTTGCTTCCTTGGAGCCTTTCCTGATTCCTTCCTTCCCGGGCCTGGTTTCTCCAGCCGGTGGCCAGCATCCAGGACAGAGAGAAGCAAGAAAGAATGGTGTCAGATGTGTCCCCAGTGGCCAGCCTCCTGCCACAGGCCCCTGGAGGACACGCCATCCTGCAGAGAGCCTGTGGGTTCCTACCCCCAGGGCTCACAGAGGAAGGAGAGGCTGAGGACTCTCCACACAGCAGAAGGGGGTGGGCTCAGTGACCCAATAACAGGGGAGGAGAGAGGAAGAGGGAGATGAGAACAGGGCAGAGGGACAGAGGAGAGGAGAGGGGAGAAATGTGGAAAAGAGCAAGGACGATGGGGAGAGGAGGCAGGAAGGAGATGGAAACAGGATGGAGAGAGTCTGAACTGGTAAAAAAAAAAAAGGGGGGGGGAGGGGAAAGGCCAGGGAAGCTGCAGGAGGTACAGAGGCAGGGCTGAGGGGCAAGAGTCTCTGAGAGCAGGGGGGAGAAGAGTCCAGAGGAGCTGAGAGGGAAGCCATGGTGGTCAGGGGTTGTGAGGGGGGCGGGAGGAGCACGGGGCAGCCCATCAATGGGGAGAAATGGGGTCCGTGTATGCAAAATACAAGGGCGCTGGAGAGCAAAGAGAATGTGTGAAACAAAGGGGAGGATGGTAGCCCAAGGAGGAGACATGGGGGTAGGTGGAAGAGAAAGAGAAGGCAGAGGAGGAGATGGGAGGAGCAAGGAAGAGGAGGATAGGAGGAAGATGAAGGACAAAGGAAGAAAAAAAGTTGAAAGATGAGCAGATGAAGAAAAAAGACAGAAGGAGAAAAGGTATAGGGGAGAAAGAAGAAAGATTGGGAGGAGGAAAGAAGAAGGTAGGAAGAGGAGGGCTAGAGATCATTGGAAGTAGGAAGAGGACAACAGAGAAGGAGGAGGTACAGAATGGAGGACTGGGGAGAAGAAGGAAGAGAAAGGCTGAAAAGAGTAGGAGGAAAAGGGAGGGTAGGGGAAGAGGAGGACAGGAGGAAGAGAAGGTTGAAAGATGAGAGCAGAGGAAGAGAAAAGACAGAAGATAGAGGAGGAAGAGGAAAGATTGGGAGAAGGGAAGAGGAGGCTAGTGATCAGTGAAGTAGTCCCGAAGACATCAGAGGAGGAGGAGGGGGTGCAGAATGGAGGATTGGGGAAAAGGAAGAGGAGGGGAGAGGTTGAAAGGAGGAGGAGGAGGAGGAGGAGGGAGGGCAGAGGAGACCAGAGGGCTGTGAAGTAGTGGAGTTGAAATGTCAAGGAGGAAGAGTGTGAAAAAAGGAGCAGCAGAGTTGGCCATGGGGAGGAAATGGATAGAAAGGAGGAAAGGATGGTGGAGGAAGTAACAGACGTGGAGACACTGGGTGTGTGGGGGGAGGTGGCATGGGAGAAGACTAGAGGATGAAGATGAGAGGGAGGAAGAGGAACTCGAGGTAGAAAAGGAGAATACAAAAAAGGAGTTTAGGGAGGAGCTGAGGAGCAATGGGTGGAGGGAGAGAATATGAGACTGAGGAGTGAGGAGATGGGAGGAGTAGAGAGCAGGAGACTGGGAAATGGAGGTGAACAGATGGAAGACGAGCTGGGCGCCAGTGGCTCACACCTGTAATCCTAGCTACTCAGGAGGCTGAGATCTGAGGATCATGGTTCAAAGCCAGCCTGGGCAGAAAAGTCCGTGAGACTTTTTTTTTTTGGGGGGGGGTCCGGTCATGTGGCCTGAACTCTGGGCCTGGGCGCTGTCCCTCAGCTCTTCAGCTCAAGGCTAGCGCTCTACACTTGAGCCACAGCGCCACTTTTGGCTTTTTTTCTTTTTGCTTATGTGGTGCTGAGGAATCGAACCCAGAGCCTCATGCATGCTCTATCACTGAGCCACCTTCCCAGCCCCCCCCCCCCCCCCCCGTGAGACTCTTATCTCCAATAAACCACTAGAAAACCAGAAATGGTGCTGTGGCTCAAGTGGTAGAGCACTCGTCTTGAGCTGAAGAACGCAGGGACAGCACCCAGGCCCAGAGTTCAAGCCCCATGACCGACCAAAAAAAAATTGTACCCAGATTGCAGACGAGCCAGATTTGAGGAGCAGGTGAAGGAAGTGGAGAAGAGTAGATGAAAAAGCAGAAGGAAGGAATAGAAGGACTTGGAAGAGAAGGAAAAGAATGAGTGAGGAAGTGAAAGGAGGAGATGGAAGAGGAGGAGGAGAAATGAGATGATGGAGG